TACTATTTCAATTTTTTTTGGCACTAGAAAGATACTCACCAGCATACTGTTTTTATCAGCAATACTTACTACCAGGGAGCTTATTTCAAATAACTAAATGAACAGTAGACTTAGTTTAGGCGTGATGGGCTTGGCAGCTCATATGATGGAATATCTGGGTACAGTTATATTTTTTGGTGGGATGCCTTATGAGCAAGTGCCAGTCTGGTGGTGTTTATCATCTCTGTGAAATAGAAGTGAGATCTGCTAAGAGTAAATGGGAAGAGGTCAGAGGAAAACAGGGTTTGACATACCATTGAGGGGTAATGAACTTGAGACAATGTTCATGATCGGCAGGCAGTATGCAGGACTCCATTGAGACAGGACCATGAATTGACTGGGGCACTGGTAGCATTCAGCTGCCTCGTTTTAGGAGCAAAGAAGGCATATTGTTGCATTGAGCCAGGGTTGGGGTTTGCTGGGGTGAGTGGCAGAAACACGGTGGAGCAGAGGAACTAGGATATTGGCCAGGGAATGACTAATGTGATAGCTAAGGGTATCTAGGCTAGATGGGGCAGTGAAAAGGACCAGTGGTGTTGAAGTCAAGGAATGGATATGTGGAGTGATAGTAATAAGAAGATGTGGCTAGAGAGGGACATATGAGTAGAGATTTCACAGTTGGAGCAATTACTGGGATTGTGTTTTGCCACAGATATAAGTGACTGAAATGAAGCGAACTCAGTGAAGATGGCTGAATTTAAGGAAGTTGAGTAACTGAGAGGCTGGAGAGTTGTTTGGGCCATCTTTGTGGTCAGAGAAGCCATCAGAAGGATGGTAGGTTATTTAGGATGGAGAAACGGAAGGTGGGCCAAATCTTCAGCAAATGAGGTGGGGTCAGGGATCCCAGCAATGAGATGTTATGGTTACTCTGCAGGAATCTCAAAGAATCAGGAGATTTTGCTTGAGGGAGATGGAAAAGTAGTGACCTGGAAGGTTTATTTGTTGCAAGGTCTCTCGGGAAGGAATCGGCCATGGCCCAGGTTCATTATACTTCTGAAGGAATCCCAATTCAAGAGGGCAGCACTAGTGGCATGTCGTCTTGTGTTTCTAAACTTGTTCATGAAAATCATGTGAGGATGTGTGTTAAAAAAAAAAATATAGATTCAGGCCGGGCACGGTGGCTCAAGCCTGTAATCCCAGCACTTTGGGAGGCTGAGGGGGGTGGATCACGAGGTCAAGAGATCAAGACCATCCTGGTCAACGGGGTGAAACCCTGTCTCTACTAAAAATACAAAAAATTAGCTGGGCATGGTGGCGCGTGCCTGTAATTCCAGCTACTCAGGAGGCTGAGGCAGGCGTGAGCCATTGCACTCCAGCCTGGGTAACAAGAGTGAAACTCTGTTTAAAAAAAAAAAAAAAATACGGATTCTAGGCTGTATCCCAGGCCCAATGAACAACAATCTTTAGGAGGAAGAGACTGAGAATGTGTAGTTTTAACACCTTCCACACTTGGTAATTTTTTATAATTAGGGAAGTTTGGGAAAGGCAGCTGTAGTGATTAAGAACATGATATTTGGAAGCCTACTGCCTGGATCTGAAGGAGGTGAGAGTGGTGGGAGGGAGCCTTAGCCCATGACACTTAAAATTGAGTTTGGCTTTCCAGATACATCTGATACCAGAAACAGTGAACAGGAATGTTCTATCAGAGGCAAACACTGACAGCAGCAGGAAGGGACAGCTGGTAATGACAGAAACAGAAACGCTCTACAAAATAATTCAAAGTATAGCTGTTTGGAGACATATATTATAGAGAAAAACATTCCTGTTTGCCTTGATGGTCTCTGAATGTATCAACTGATTATAATTGTTTTCGTGTTCAACAGGAATAGGTTGAATTAGGGTTTAGTTTGTTCAGAAAGGCTGAGAAGGAAGTTATGCAATTTAGAAAGCTTTCTGTCATAAACCAGCATGTTTAGTGCTTTAGGTATTCATAAAATTAACTTATGTGCACAATTCTGTCTCTGAAGATACTAGATTTAAAAACAAAGTTTTATTAAATAACAAGCCAAAGTTAAGAACAGTTGTTAGCCCCAAGGGGTTGTCTATATGATTAGATATTTAATATGATCATACTGGTAGCCCTGCTGCCCCATTCTCCCTATTTTCCCTGGGAAAATTCTTTCCTTTCCATGACAAGGAGAGGAATAGCTGCAAAAGAATAGCTGCTCACGAGGGAACCTGGAGTTAGCCATTCTTGGCTGACCAGACTTTCCCTATGGCTATTAAGGAGGTTCTGAATTTCAGTTGCAGTGTTTATATTACTTAACACTATACCTACCACCTGGTTTATCATACCCAAACACTAAAGTTTTGGGAAAAGAAGGTTGTCAGCAGTGTTGAAGTGGTTGCTATTGATCTTGAGCCTAAAACTTGATTTGCTGTATCGTGTGTTCCATTTCTTATTTTTCCTCTTGGACTGAGAAGACTGGCTTTCAAACTGGTGAATAGTAGCACCTCAGTTGCAGTCCAGTCAGCTACCACATCTTTTCACTCACTGTCTCCTCTCCTCAGTGAACTGCAGGAGCCAGTCAAATGTACATCATGAGGCCTATAAAATGTGGCTGTGGAGGATTAGCAATGCCAATTCAACCAGAACTTTCAGTTTGCAAGTTGAGATTTGTAACAGTGATTCCATTTTAGAGAAAAAAATCCTATTTTTCCATTTTAGAAAAACATTTTCTTCTAAAGCTGAGGAATACTGAACAGACCAATGAGTGTTTTGATGACAACATGTTCTTTAATGTCATACTTTTCCTCCCTTCAGAGCTCAGGAACCCTTGCAGACTCTGCTGTAGTATGGTGCTCTTTATAATGTTTAAATCATTAAGAGTATTCACCTTGTGAAGTTTTTGTATTCCTGCTGTGAAGTAGGTATCTTGGGGTTGAAAAGAGGGTCCATGGCCTCAAGGAACTTTTTAAAAAGTTAGTCAAGGTGCATTTAGATCTCTAACCTCAAGCAGACCATGCTATGTGCTGTGAAGGAGGTATGATCAAAATGTTGTAGGATCACAGATGAAAGAGAGGTTATTTCTAATGGTGGATAGAGGTGGCAAGAAGAGATTGGAAGATGCTTTAAGAGGATATTTGTATTCAGACTGGATCTTGAAGTTTGAGTAAAATTTTGGAACTAGTAAATTACATTTGATATTTTCTGTTTACTAAGGCATCTTTTATTTTAGCAAGACTACAACATAGTGCTTAATGAATTAGCCCTTAGTTATCTGAAATGACTCAATTACTTTGGGTACCTTATTTCTGTAATTAATGCATGACACATTAAGGAATATATGGTGGAAAAGGGCTTTTATGGAAGCATAGCTGAAAACAATCTTAGGATGATGTAGATATCTGAAAGAATTGGAAATATAGTGGTATGGCAGTGAATAAAAAAACAGAATGATAATGGGATGTGTATGTTTGAATATATGGTTTAAAATAGAGGGAAATGGAACACTAAATGATGTTAATGAGGTCTTAATAGGAAATAAATAGTCTGCTAGGTTAGCAGGAATCTGAGTACTCACCATCCCATTTCTGAGTATATTTCTCTGGGATGGCTGGCAGTGTGGTCAGGAGATCCCTGTGAGGTTGGCCACAGTAAACCAAAGGAGGTTAGCTGCTTCTCATTCTCCCTTGCTCTAGGTGGCTAAGCACAGATGGTTTTACAGAAAAGCTGTGACTGTGAAGCCATGTCCAGGGTGGCTCTTTCTGCTCTAGACCTCTGCACACTTGGTTCCTGTGCTTGGCCTACCTCAAAGCTATGTCTTCTTGCCACAGAGTGGATTCTCTCTCTCTGGTGGGTGTACCTCTGCATGAGTCCTCACTCCTTTGACAAGCCCATTTCTTGCCATGGTAGGTTAGCTATTGCTGCACCATTGTGCCAGCCTTGCAGGTGGTCATTGTTATGTCTGAAATCTTGCATTCAGTTTTTCCTTTCTTATGTTAAGGCTCTTTCACCTGACACCTCCATTCAACTCTTAATTTTCCAGGAAGCTGAAAAACATGCTACTTGCTACCTTTTGTGCTGAAATGGCCCTGGGCCAGAATTCTGATACCCTTGGGAATCAACATATATAGTTTAGACAAGACAGCATTTTCTTTTTGTTTATTCCTGTTAATGCCAATAGCATTTGAAAAGCCAGGATATTTGGCAATGCTGTGTGCCCCATTTTACTGTACAGGTAACTAAAGCCACTTAAGAAAATGATTTCAGTAATTCACCAAATAACATACTTACTGTGTGCTTGCTATGTGTGAGATACTATGCTGGACACCAATGGAGAACAAATCAGACATGGTCTTCCACGGCACTCACAGTCTGGTGGACCTATGGCCAGGAAGCCATGAGAGCTTTAGGAATGACTATAGGCCTAGGGGCAGAACGGCCTGGTGTCTGGTCCCTCTTTTGCCTTTTATTAATTACATGTCCTTAAGCATTTGACCCTATTTTCTGTCAAGCGAAATAAAAAGGATTTGCCCTGGCCTTTAATATTCTTATAAGACTAGATGAGACTATATACAAAAGAGCTTTGCAAAGGTCAAGTTACTATATATGCAAATATAATTGTGGCTAATCAGCTCTGTCTTCTTTAAGGAGAATGACTAATGGAGCGTTTCCACTTCTCTGTGGCTTCAGAGAATGCCATCACATTCCCAAATACAATGCTTGGACCGAAGATTAACATTTCACTAATTCTAATTTATATTAATGAACAAGGAAACTAGCTACTTAGGTGGTACCGAGGGCTAGTTATCTCTAAAAAGTCATAGATTTAATATATATTAGCTTTATTTCAGAAAACAGTACTTCTGGATATTTACTATATAACCAGAAATTTATTCTTACAACAATGGATGTATAATTCTAATAATACAATGCATACCGTGATATTATAGTACAAAAATTCATCAGAACAATAATTATAATAAAAAAGTATTCTTTGTAAATAGTAGAATATATCTTTACTTTTTGCAGGTTTAGGTTGATAAGGAGTTTTGAACTGCACTGTTACTTTTTGGTTTTGACTCTTTTTTATTGTTGTTGGTTGGATTTTGAGACAGGGCTTCACTCTGTTGCCCAGACTGGAGTGCGGTGATGTGATCCTAGCTCACTGCAGATTCTACCACCTGGGCTGAAGCAGTCCTTCCACCTCAGCATCCTGAGGAGCTGAGACCACAGGTTGTGTGCCACCATGTCTGGCTAATTTTTGTATTTTTTGTAGAGGCGGGGTTTTGCTGTGTTGTCCAGGCAGGGCTGGGCTGGGCTTGAACTCCTGAGTTTAAGCAATCTGCCCACATTGGCCTCTCAAAGTGTTGGGATTATAGGCATGAAACACTGCTCCCGCCAACTTTCTTTTGTTTTAATGGCCCCTCTTAATTTGCATATCACTGAAGACTAAGACCTTTTGTTGTAGGTATTTTTTGTAGCAGCCTAGAAATGACCCTTAATCTTTGAACTTCAATTTTACTCATAAAATGTGATCTTTTCTTTGCCATGCCAACTTCACAGGGTTGTTCAGACATTCAAATATAGTATTGAATGGATGTGCTTCTATCTGTGTAATGGTCCGTGTTCAGTCATGGTATAGTGATGAGGTAATCCTGGCAAATGAATGCCCCAGAAGGGCTATGTCTTGATTTGTAACCTAGTCCTTGGTCAAGTCTTGATTCTTCCCCATGATGATTCATCCTGTTGTCCCATTCTCATTTAATAACATCTTGCTTTATGCCCAGTTGGCCATTAGCCAACGCTTGTTGAGTGTCTGCTGTTTGTCAAGCCTGTGCAAGATGCTGGGGATATAGAGGTGAGAGGCCAGACCCGGTCTCCTGGGTGCTTGTTCAAGTAGGGAAGTTTAAGACTGCAACAGCAATTCTTGCCTCAATTTCTAGTCTGCTGGTCTGCCCAAAAGATTTAAGACTTGTCAGCCCTACAATTGCATGAGCCAGTTCCTTAAAATAAATCATAGTGTGTGTATGTCTGTATATTCGTACATATATCCATTCACACACACACACACACACACACACACACATATTGTTGTGTTTTGTATTGGTTATTTTCTCTGTAGAGCCCTTACTGATACAATACTCAATAAATGCTCTCGTTGTGGATGCAGTAAGAAGAGGAACAAGCGTAGTAAACAAGGTGCTTGCTGTGGTTGTAGCCATGTTGGGTTTGAGCTGCCCATGGAATCCAGGTGGAAATACTGGCAGGCACATGTAGCTGGGTTGCAGAGAACTCACATGAGTGGTCTGGACTGTGGAGATATATAAGTGTGGAAGTCACCAGGGTGTAGCTGTCAGTTGAAGCTGTTTGTGGATGATTTCACACAGAGAAAGTAGAGTATGTAAGGTAAGAGGAAGTATAAAGGTGGAACCCCAGGAAATACCAACATTTGGTGGGGAGGCGGAGGGGAGGAGACTGTACTGGAAACCAAGTAGGAGTAGACAGAGAGGGGGAAGATCAAGAGAGAATGGGTCATGGAAACTAAGGCAGGGGATGATTTCAAGAAGGTGGAAGTACTGCAGTGTTAAGTGCCATAAAAAGGTAGAGAGAAATGTTGGAAATTGTACATTGGATTTAGCTCCTAAGAGGTATCACTGGAGGTGAATGTTTCAGCATCCCACCACCATGTTACTGTGGGTGGGGGTGGAGTAGAGAATCCATGGTAATGAAGTAGAGATGGGTGTTTGCTGCTGCTGCTGCTGCTGCTTAAAGGAGCTCAGCTAGGAAGTGTGAGGATAAGAAGGGGCTATAGGCTTCCCAAGGAAGAGGTGATTTTAGGATGAGAGGGACTCTAGCATGTTCAGAGGCTGAAGAAAGGAAGAGCCAGGTGAGAGGAAAAAAAAATCAATTCAGGAAGAGAAAGGATAAGTGTTGAACAGGGTCTCTTCTGTGGATGGAGGGACAAGCACAGGAAATGGCCAGTAGCATTGCCAGAGGAGGGGTGCCTCTTTCATTTGACTGTGTGGAAAGAGGAAAGGCTATTTGGGGATACAGAGAAGTCTATAGAAGGCAGGGGGCTGCAATTTTTGCCCTTGTAAAAGCTTCTGTCTTTTTGTGTGAAGTGGAGCCTTGGCATCCACTGATAGCCAAGGGTAGATGATGCAGTAGGGTCTTTGAAGAAAGAGAAGGTATAAAATTACTGTGTGGAGCTTGGAAGTGGGAGTTGATTTTTGCTCCTCATTGTGTATTGAATGAAAGTTATACTCCACAGTCTGATATTTACAAAGACCTCCACAATCTGCCTTTTATCAGTTCTGCCAGACTACCTATATTTTTTGTTTCATTCTAGCACCCTTGTACTTTAGTTGAGTGTCTCTGATGTGGCACTAGAATGTGGCTTTGAGAGATTAGATGCTGTAGGGAAGATGCTGTTAGACTGAGAGTCAGGGGTCCTGTGTCCAGTTTGGCTCCTCCACTTATCAGCAATGTGACCTTGGACATACCTTAATTCTCTAAGTTCATTTTTTCATTTATAAACTGTTAATAACAATAGTAAGTATTGATGAAGGCGTGTCAAATGAGAAAACATATTTTAAAGTGCTTTGAAGAGGGTGAGTATTATTTAAGTGGAGATGGTCATCAGGCCATCCCTAATCCTAGCCTCAGGGTTCCTTCCATACCATTAGAGTCCTCCACCTTCTCTCCAGCTGCCATTTAATTCAGCCTGTACTGTATAGAGAAATACCAGCTACTGTAATAGATAAACCCTGCTGAAACCTCAGTGGCTTAAAACAGTAGACATATCTGTGCTTATTTAAAATCCAGTCATCTGTGGGGATTGAGGGGGCCCAGCCTAATGGTGCTCTGTCATCTTCAAATCATGGTTTCCAAGGTTGCGCTGGGTGTCAGTGGCCAGCCAGCGGTGTTGGATAAGAGTGTGAGAGGGCATGATTGGGAGGTGTTTGTATACTAGGCTTATGATGGGAGCTAGTGACTCACGCCAAAGGAGAGGTGGTTGAGAAGAGGCATCTATCTACTGGATGGGAGGTGAATTTGGGGTGTGTGGGTGCTTATTTGCACAAAATGGTTGACGTGGCTCAAGAGGAGTGAGGCAGGACCTGTGCAACCCCAGGAGGGAATGGAGAAGCTCTTGCCTGTATGGGCAGAGCTTGGGAAGGGTCAAGGGGCCTAGGACTTGTTCATGGTAAAGAAGGCAAGTGATGCAAAGGTGAGAGAGAGGCCCCTGTGTCAGGGAAGAGGGAGCTGAGAACTGGGTGTTCACACACGTTTGTGGTGAGCTTCTTAAAAGCTAGGGAGGCAGACACTGTTTACCTTCCTAAGATAAGAAAATGAATGTAGTGGTGCCTTGATAAAGGCCACACAACTAATAGGCAGCAGAGAAATGAGCTAGGGCCTGGGTCTTTTGAAAAGAAAAGCCCCTAGTTGTGAGACCAGGAAACATCCCACTGGGAGGGCTGGAAAACCTTGGCTTTGAAGAAGTTGGTTTGAAGTAAACCCTTGGGCACAGGGTGGAAGAGCACATGTCGTGGCCTATTCCTTTATAGGTGACTCACCCTTTGCCTGCATCTACTGGATGGGAGGTGAATTTGGGGTGTGTGGGTGTTTATTTGCACAAAATGGTGGAGGGGGCTCTGAGAAGAGTGAGGCAGGACCTGTGCAACGCCAGGAGGGAATGAAGAGGCTCCTGCCTTGATGGACAGAGCTTGGGAAGAGCCTAGGGGCCTAGGACTGGTTCCTGGTGAAGGAGGAAGGGCAAATATTCTAATGCAGGGGTGTGCTTAATGAGTTCAAGGACTGAAAGGGGACCAGGTTGGTACAAGACTAACAGGAGGAGAGGTGCGTGAGAAGATATTGGCAAGCAAAGCAGGGCCCATATCACTCAAGAACTTACAGGGCATATCAAGGTCTACTGTAAGGTCGATGAGAAGCCATTGTATATTTTGAGTATGGTGTATGATGGCTTGATATATAGTTTAAAAAGACCACCCAGACTGTTGTGTGGAGAATGGGTAGAGGGGAGGCCAGAGTATAAATTGAGTGTAGTGGGTGAGGGAAAAGGAGGAATTAGGAGGAAATGAAAGTCTGGAGCTCAGAGAAGAGGTTCAGGCTGGAAAATACATTTGATCCTGTATTTCCTGTTAGCTCACTCCCTGTTTTTAGTCAGGCTTCCTGCGAATAGCCTTATCCATGGTCTCTGCTTCCTCAACTCCTACAGTCAATCCTCTGTACTCTGGCCTCTGTCACTGCCACTTCCTTGAAACATCTCAGGCAAAGGGCACCCGAGGCACTTTGTGGTTACCTAAGTCTAGGCCTTTAGCCCTCGTCTGACTTGTCTTGCATTCCTTCACACTGTGAGTCACTTCTGCCTTGAGAGGCCTTCCTCCTTAGCTCTTCTGTCTTTCTGACCCTTCATTCTATGGCCTCTTTCTGGTTTTCCAGTCCTCAGACCATCCCTGAAATGTTAGCATTCCCCAGGCTCCTGGGTTTCCAGTTGGTCCTTTTGGCTTCCCCTGTACCCGTCTGTATAGAATAAACCCTACCCCACTTCATTAGGCCAACATCTACTTGCCTTTCCACCTTCACCTCAGGTGCCCCTCCTCCGAAAGCCGCCTCTGACCCCTCGGGTTGGTTAGGCGCCACTTCTCCTCCTTTTCCATTTCTCCTGGAGCATAAAGTAGATTATCTCTATGATAGCACTTAGCACCCTGTTTACTTATTTGTCTCCCCAGTCTAATAGTGCTTGAGGGATAGAGTTACAATGAAATACTGCGTGATCTAGGACAAAGATTGCTTTCTACAGTTCAGGTGAAAGCCACGCTTTATAATAAAGGTATCTACACCTGATTGTATATCCTTTAATAGGGCATCATTTCTCACTGGCTCTGAAGGCTGGAATTCTGGTATAATATATTCTATGAACAGAAGAGATTAATTTAACTAGAAATAATCAGTAATTGTCTCAATTTTCTGAAAGAAAAAAATGACTAAGAATCTGAATTGCTTCAAAAGGGCTTCTAAAGACTTGCATTTCTTGCCTAGTAATTTGGATCTCTGCTCCCTCACTCCCACCCCAAAGCCTGTTACATGTGTCTTGTATTTTGTGATTCCACAATTCTGGGTTTGACATTACAATTGCCTCCATGGTGATGAACACTAACGTTCTCTTATGCTGAATTGTGATAGCCTTCTAAGGCAGCAAATAGACTGAATGAAAGATGAGCTTCTGCCTTTATATTCTTCCCTCCGGCTACCCAACTCATTGTGGTGAAAGAAAAAGAAAATACTGGTGGAGACTGCAGTCTATGCTTAGGTATACAAATCACACATTGGGAGTTTCAGGAAGGCTTTGGGTGGTTGATGTCACTCTAAAATCTCATGCTTGTCTTTTTCTTTTTTTTTTTCCTTTTTTGAGACGGAGTCTTGCTCTGTCGCCCAGGCTGGAGTGCAGTGGTGCAATCTCAGCTTGCTGCAGCCTTCCGGGTTCAAGTGATTCTCCTGCCTCAGCCTCCCAAGTCACTGGGTGCCTGTCACCATGCCCAGCTAATTTTTGTATTTTTAGTAGAGACAGGGTTTTGTTGTGTTTGCTGGGCTGGTCTTGAACTCCTGACCTCAAGTAATCCACTCACCTGAGCCTCCCAAAGTTCTGGGATTATAGGCTTGAGCCATCGCGCCCAGTCTCATGCTTGTCTTTCATATGGCTTTTTCTACTCTTGAATTTTTTTCTTTCTTTCTCTCAGTTCCAAATTCAATTCACTGTATCATTTTTGGCAGGTGGAACAAAGAAAATATAATGTTGAATCACTTTCTTCCCAGTGGCTGTGGTTTTTAGAATATTTCTTGATTTTTTTCAATGTTTAATTTTCTGAGCCTAGCAGAGCAAAAAAAGCAATGATGCCTTTGATTAAATGAAGCCCTTAGCATAATTACTCAAAATCATGTAACAGATTATACTTGTTCCTTTTTTGATATTTTTTAAGAAAAAAAATTATGGAGTTGTTATTTACCTTTAACTAGAATGCCTCTCAAATGGAATGCGACTGCCCAAGTAAATATAATAGCAGACAAAATTTGAGCCTTTATAGTATTCTCTCAAGGATTTGTTGTTAATCAGAGTGAGAAATGCTGGCATATAGGAGCTGTACTCTATTGATTCCCAATTATGTTTATTTCTGGTGTCCAAATAAGACATTAGGATTGCAGACTTTCAGGTAGGAAGTGACCACAGGGTTTTCCAGTATGCCCACTGGTGAGATGCCAACTCCCCTTCTTATGTAGGGGACACCTCTCAGCATAAGAACAGTCTTCCTCACAGGAAGCCACAATATTGTCCTGGGACTCTTGACCCACTGGACTTCCTTAGTGAATTTTTCCCACCATATATCATATACAGCCCTTCAAGTACTTAAAGAAGCTTTTTTCCTTTCGTCTTCCAAGTCCTTCTCTTCAGATTCTAGATCCCTGGTTTCTTCAGATGTAAACTCCCTCCTTATTCTGCATATTGTGATCCTAATGAATCATCCTGAGGTTTTGTTAGCTTTTCTAGTGGATCAGTCCCTTACTGAACTTCCTCCTGGTAGACACCCACTCCCCTCTGAATGCAGGTTCTAAAACATCTATTTAATGAAGTATTTCTATCTCAGTGGTCTTACTAGCATAGTTTTACCGTTATGTTTTGTTGAGTTTGTTAATATTGTAATATACTTCCTCTAAAAGTAAACAAACGTGTTTAAGCCCTAGGGTGCAGGTAGAATGCCAGAGGCCTTATAATTTGATTTCCAGCTAGAGGAGACTTAATCAAATTCAGTTGGGTCTGATTATAAAGGCAAGCATGTATTGAGCCCTCACTGTGCTATATAAGGACTGCTATATGTATCATTAACCCTGTGCTAATACTAACAGCATCATTAATAGTAGATAGTGTTATTGACCTCATTTTAATGATGGAGAAATGGAGGTTTGGAAGTCTGGGGCATGCTCCATGTTTCACATGTCACCAGGGGCAACAAGCTCCTAATGTGCCATTATGCTGCTGCTTTAATGCCTTTCTGCTGGGTAATGCTCTGTGTACAGCTCCCTTTCTCTTATACTTCAGATTTACTTCTCTGGTCTTCTTACTTAAAATATAAATTAAAACAAAGATTCAGGGGATTCTTTTTAACTCACCAGGGCATCTGGAAGCGCCCCCTGCATGTGGTGGGTACTGATAGCTAAGGTTGTCCTTAGCTCTATATCTTTAGACTCAGTAGAAAGAGATGAAACCTCTGTGAGTTCTTCAGTCTTTGAATGTCTAGGGCCACTCTAGACCTTGTAAGTTCATCTTAAACCAGTAAAAGTCTGACTCATTATGGTGGGCTAGGACTCAATTGAAGGTCATTTCCTTTAACTCCCCTTTGGGCAACTGGCCAGCACAGAACAAATGGGAGAAAATATGACTGTTGTCATTAAAGTTGGACTGGCAGTCAGTTGCCTGTATTTAGTCCTGGCTCTGCCTTACATACTTACCCTGGGTAACTAGGCCCCCATTTCCTCACTTGCTCTGGGAATTGGAAGGGAGAGAAAGGTATTGGGGAGATTACTTCACATTCTTTCCTCTGTCAGAGGCAAACACAGTCCTTTGGTTTTGGAGAGTCCATTCTTGTGCTCTATTTTTTAATTCCACACTTAAACCATGGCACAATTGGAAGGATGGGATGTTTGTGAGGCTGCTGTGCTTCCCCTTCCCCCAGTCCCTGAGAGATTGGTAATTTGGACACCTTTATTAGTTTGAGATAAGACTGGGACTCACTGACTGAGGCTGTACTGAAGATTTAAGCCACAAGGAGGCCTAGGACTTCTTGCTCAATTCACAGGGCTCCAAGGGTTTAGAAACTGATGTTATTCCTCTGGGGTCTAAGGAGAATGGCTCAGGTGTGGGACTACTTCAGGTCTATTGGGGGAGCATAGGCTAGCCTTGGGAGTTCTGAATCATCAATACTTGGGAATATTTTAGAATTATCAGATCCTGCCTGCATGTGCATCTCAATCTGAAATAAACCCCAGAACTGCCATTCTCCCTGTTGATTCAAGATATAAATGATTCTCGCATTCTATAGATTGGACTTTATTCAGAGTCCCAACAGGAAAAGTTGGCATTTTCAACTTAGGAAAATTCCAAGAGAGTTTACTTCAAGAGGTATGGGCGGGATGTAGAGAAAACCATAAGGAATAGTGCAGGAACCAAGGGTTATAGTAATGGTGGAGCTGTTAGTATCCCTAGCTTCAAAGAGACAAATGGATGAAAGTTGTTATGAGCCAGAAAAGATTGTCATTGTCAAGTGGTAAGAGGCTACCTTGAGAGGAGCAGTGGCTTGGTTGAGGGATGCATCCGGTGCATGTAGAATGAATTCCCCAACCTTATTCCCTCCCTCGCCTCTCCTTTCTTCTCCCGATCTCTTTCTGGGACTTAGCATTGGCTAAACTCAATCACGGGTCAAGGTCATAGGGATCTCTTGATGTGTTTCATAATGATTAGCCTGTCAAGGCAGAGAGCAGGGTAGGGAAAGTTGGAGCGGGTGTCTGGGAAATAGTAGACTTAAGTACCCCTGTAGTTATAGAATGGGCAGAGCTCATGTGCATGTGTGTAGCAGAAGGTGGGAAAAAAGGATGAGATGAGCATTTCTTGAGCATCACCATGTGCTAGGGACTTTTTTGTGACATCACCTTTTGAGGCAAGCAGTATTAGTTCCATGTTAAAGATGTGGAAAACTTGAGCCCAGATCCCTTGGCCCTAAGTCAACTCAGTTCTGGTGATCCCTGTGATGACAGATAGTATTTGGATATTTCTCTTATCTTACTTTCTCTGTGGCTTGTTCCAGAAAGCCACATTTCATAGCTTTGCTGGGAGAACAGTGAGGACTGTAACAGAGCTGCTGTGTTTTTTTTCTTCTTCACATTTATGAACTTGAGGAGAAGGGAAAAGAAGAGGAAAAAAACTCAACTTGGCATGAGTGATGTTAAGCAAGATCAAATAAGGTGAAAAGCAAAATAGTCTCCAGAAATTTAGTTTTGCTTTTACCCAAAGTTCATGGGCGGTTGCTGTACAAAGTCCTTTTTCCTTTCCACAAATGTTAAGCACTTTTAATAATATGAATCTCATTATCTTTTCTTTTGGTTGGTTATGAACTTAAATAGCTTTTATAAAGGACAACCAACTGAATGTGAAGATCAAACCGTGTGTGTCACCTTTTGCTATTTCATTTCTTGCGACTATACAGATTCTTACAGTGAGTTACAGTTATTTTGGTTCCTTATGAATTTATTGTAAAAGCATTTATTGTACAGCCAACAGTGAAATAGAAATTTTAAATTTTTTAAAAAGGGAATTCTAACACTCTAGAAAGTAAACTCTTAGATTTTCTTTTTTTCCTATTTTTTGATCACATCCATGCATAATTTTATATGACTAGAATTATACAAGTTTGTATTGTTCTCATGTCATATTTTTCCATGTTGGTACATAGCCTGAATAATATATGATAATTTCTCAATTTTCCGTAAATATTCTCTAACTTATTGGATATTTTTTATTTTTTAAGACTTGCTGCATTCTATGAAAAGGATTGGTGGTTTTGTTGAACACTGAAGTGTTTTATGTATTACTTTTCTTTATAAATATTATTTATTTGCATCTCAGGTAACTAGTTTCTTCACCCCTCCCTCTTTTGTTTTTCTGGAAGAAGAAATGGAATTTTTATTTCTTTAGGATAATTTTGGTAGTGGAATGAGCAACTCTGAAGCTCCATCAAGGAACTAGAAATATAGTAGTTTGAGGGTTAGCTGAGAGAAGAGTACATTTGAAATAAGTCCTCAATACAGAGTTGTTACTTAAAATATTGATGTGGGCGGGGCACAGTGGCTCATGCTTATGTATAATCCCAGCTCTTTGGGAGGCTGAGGTGGGTGGATCACTTGAGGTCAGGAGTTCGAGATCAGTCTGGCCAACATGGTGAAACCCTGTCTCTACCAAAAAATGCAAAAATTAGCCAGGCATGGTGGTGCATGCCTATAGTCCCAGCTACTTGGAGGCTGGGGTGGGAGGATCACTTGAACTCAGGAGGCAGAGATTTCAGTGAGCAGAAATTATGTCACTGCACTCCAGCCTGGACAACAGAGCAAGACTCCGTTTCAATAAAATAAATAATGTGGATTTTTATTCAGTCTTAGGTTGAATATTACTATTACTAAGGCCAAGTATGTTGATTCACTCCTGTAATCCCAGCACTTTGGAAGGCTGAGGCAGGTGGATCACTTGAGGTTAAGAGTTTGGACCAG